GTATTAAATAGTCTAGGGAGGTAATAGGTCCTCATGAAAGTTTAGTATCGCAATAGCAAATCCGACCAAAGTTGGGGTATTTTTCAGACCATTATCCCTTTTTATTATTTTGTAATTTTTCATATAAGAGCATTAATTAAATCTCTAATATTTGTATTTTTTTAAATGTAATATAATTTTTAAAAATATATTATTTAGCATATACTACTTCCATCCTAAATTAATAATATTCCATTTTTTAAATTTTTCGTCACTTTAATATACTTTGATTTTATTATTAATTTTCATTATAAAGAATGCACAAAATTTAATGGTCTACAATTGTTCAAACTATTCGTGATCCATATTAAAAGAAGAAATATTTCGCAATGAAACAAGAATCGTGCCGAAAAGATGTTGAATGTGCATTCAGAGTTTTGCAATCACGTTTTGTAATTATTGAAGGACATTCACGTTTGTGGAGAAAGGAAGTGCTACATGATATAATGACTAAATGTATTTAATGACATAATATGATAATCAAGAATGAACATGATCTTAATGCACCAATTCAAGATGTCGTAGAGGCTCCAACTACAACAACATAAATGGTGGTAGATGAAAATCTCCTGTTCCAGTTTGAACAATTTTTAGCTAGACATAAAAAAATTAAGGACAAAAATGCTCATTTTGAACTATGTAATGCATTAATGGAGCATCTATGGAAGCAACGTAATAATCTTGAAAGTTGAATATTTATGAAATGTTTATATAATTGTATTTTATTAATCATTTCACTTTTATTTGAATTGTCCATTAATTTGTATATTATATAATATTTGCTTACAATTTATGTTATTTAGAAAATTAAAATAAAATATAATTTAATATTAGATAATGAATTTCAAAAAATAAAATTTTATATCACATGAAAATTATATAAAGTGATTATTTGGAAAAAAGAAAGAAAAGATTTATATTATGAAATAAGAAAATAAGAATGAAATAGAAATAGAAATAAGAAAATAAGAATGAAATAAAAAATAATAATATAATATTAAGGATAGGAAAAAAAATTTCTTTTTAGTGAGTAAAATACATAATTGAGTTGGAATTGATTGTCTGAAAAAACAGAGTACTATATATATAAAGATTAAAATAGATAATAGAATTGGAGATGCTCTTGTATTAGAATCTTACTTTTCTTGGCTATACAAAGATCATGATCTATTAGTTAAATGTGAAAAGTTCCTTCTTGTATGGGGACTCACACGAGGAGGTATACATATAAATAACACCCGCACAAATGTGGTCATACCTAGAGGACTATCACATAAGCAAGAAGACTTTCTAGTTAGACCACAACTCTTTCATGGTTTTCTCAACATCTCTCCATGTACATTTGTTGGTCACCTGTATATAGAGCTGTCAAAATGGGCTTGGCCCGCTAGGCTAGCTCAACCCAAGCCTTGAATTAAATAGGGTTGGGCTCAATTTTTTCAGCCCATTTAGGAACGAAGTTTTTTAGCCCAGCCTCATTTGGCCCGCTGGCCTCTTAGGCCCAACCCGCAAGCCTCAGAGGCCAGCCCGCGGACTGTGAATTTTAAAAGTTTATTATATATATTTTAAGTAGTGTTTTACTTGTTAAGATTTTGTCAATAAATATTTTTAAAATATCAATATAAAATCAAGACTATATTTTTACATATCTTTTACATTTTAGGGTCATTAGGACACTAAATTTTCTTATTAGCCCAAGTCCATTACTTCATTATAACTATGAATCTTTGACCTCTTTTACTTTTGTTTTTATGCCAAATTTTTTTCTTCTCCTTTATTGCCTTGTTTATGAAAATAGTGATCATGTAATGTTTTTTGCTCGGATGAATCTTATGAATGTTGTATCTTGGCTATTATGTATTTGTTTTGTAAATATTCACTGAAGTATGTGTAATTCATGAATGAATTTGTGTATGTATTGATGTCTTGTTCATCGGACATCAACGTTCGTATTCTTTCTAAGAGGAAAATGTTGTACTTTTTTTTGTTGAAGGGCCAATCCGTCCCAACCCGTGGCCCGCTTGGGGTTGGGTTGGACTGCTATTTTATAGGCCCTTTAATTAAAAGGGTTAGCCCGTCCCAACCCATTTAACTCTCTAGCCCATTAGGGTTGGGTTGGGTTGGGTTGGGTTGGGCCAGCCCATTTTGACAGTTCTACCTGTACATATCATTCTATGTTGTAGGTATATTAAAGAGAAAATATATAAAGTGACATCTAAAGTTGTCCCCAATTTTCAAAAAGACATTTGATCTATGCGGTGGTCCTATTACCCTACTAATTATTTTTGAACTGATATTATTACATCATTTTTGTCCACTTGACATAGAGAGTGTATATACTCTCTTAAAGAGTGTGAACATCCTCAAAATAATAAATATAATTTTATTTTTATAAGTGTTTTGTTATAAAATATATTTTCTTATTATCTTGACCTTCTTTCTTTATTATTATTTTTTCTTCTTCAAGCTTCTTCAAAAATTCATTGTCATCTCCATTGAAACTCTTCACTTTCAATGTCACTATTTTATTACAATTCCACCCTCCCTTTATTACTATTAGTTTAACTTTTTTCACTTTTTTCACTTTATCTAAACATTTCTTTATATTTTTATTATTTCTTTCTTTCTTTCTTTCTTTCTTTTTGGGGTTTTTTTATTAGTTTATATTTTTTTTCTCTCTTTCTATATTGTTACCTTTATAAGAAAATAAAATAAATTACATTACTTTTCTTCTTTTCTCATTTATTATTTTTATTTTCTTTTTTATTCTTTTCTCATTCATTATTATTATTAGAGAAAACATTTGGTAACTTTTTTATTATTCTTTCTTTATTTTTTCTTTTTCTTTTTTTTCCCCTTTTTTTGTTAGTTTATCTTCTTAATTCGGATAAATTTTCTAAACTGGACAGACTGACTTCAAACGGGCATATCTCTTCATCCGAACTCAAATTTAATAAACTCGGTGGCGTTGGAAAGAGGATTCAAAGATATTTCATTTGATATCTTATGGGCCACCTAACTCATCATGTACTGAAAGTTATGACCGTTTGAAGTTGACTCAAAACTCACAACTTAAGCATAACTTGCAAAATTATCAATTTGGCTCTTTCCAATTTAGTTCTTTCTAAAATTAGCTCTTTCTAATACCGAGGTGTTATAATAAAACATTCAACTAAATATCATACAACGATATTTTTATTTCTTGAAGGTTGAAATGCAAGTTCAAC